ATTTTTCAAAGAGGACCTACAAAATTCTATGTGGGATTCAATCAAATTATTTGAAACATATTGATTGGAGGGAGGGTTGAAAATTTCATTTCCCTCCAAAATTAAATCTAGCATTCAATCAATTTGTTTGGAGGGAATGTTTAAAAAATTTAATTTCTTTAAAATAAGTGACTTTTTTTTTTTATCAATTATGACTTTATTAAATATTATTAATAAATACTATACAATAATTTTTATTTTTATTTGAGTATTTATATATATTTTTATTTATTTATAATTTTTTATTATATTTTTTAATTATATAATATTAATTATGATGTGACGGTTCGACCGCTTTAACCTGATGATTGAACCAGTGATCCGTCCACCCAATTTCTTTTTTAGTTTGTTCACCAATCTGATTTTCAAAATATTGATCCGGAGCATAGCCCGAAAACTATTCACATGCGTAGGCGCTGACATAAGCAATTTTTGTCTGTTTTTTACGCTTCTTTTTTGGGTGGGTAGTCTTTTCCTACACTAACCAGTCCGGCCTACAGGGGCATTAGACAATGGAAATTACTTGGGACCCATTTCGGGGGACATGACTTTCAAATAATTGTAATTGATCATGTATATTTTTATTTTTGTAATTTTTTTTTTCTCGTGTGTGTAGGGTTGTGGGAGTGAGGTGTTTGTGGGGTTAGTATCATTTCTAATTGGACTATTGTTGAGTAAATCCATCTAGCGCCCAAATTTTTTATTTAGAAAAATAATTTACAAATAGAATTTCTCACAATTTAATGTATTTAAAATGATATAACAATAACATATTTATAATTATGAGACATAATAATAGATATTTTGATAAAATAAAATCATAAATAATTTTGTCATTTGGTATGAAACTTTTGTATAAAAATTAAGTTTATATAACATTACCCTTTTCATATTGATTATTTGGTATTAGAATAATGCTTGGGACCCCCTTTTGGGGGTCACCCCCTCACCCCCCTTTGCCACGTGGCAGGGGGTGATTGGAGGAGCAGGAAAAAAAAGAAAAAGAAAAAGAAAAGGTAACCAATGAGAGAGAGAGGGGGGTCAAAGGGGGTGAGGGGAAAAGGGGGGGATGAATCATTACTCTTGGTATTATTGGATGGGTCTGGCTTTGGTCCAGTTCACCATCGAACTGGACCGTGCTGTTGGACCCGTGGGGGCCCACCACGAGTCCCGTTTTGAAAATCTTAACCGTTCAATGTGTAGAACTCTTCGAATGTTATATGCCTGTAAAAAATCATATTGATCGGATATTGATAGCTATGTGATCAAATCAGTTTTTTGTCAATCGTTAATTTATTCACCGTCCATTTTTTTTATAAAAAACTGATTTGATCACATAACTATCGATATCCGATCAACGTAATTTTTTATAGACATATAGTACTCGAAGAGTTTTAAACATTAAACGGCTTAGATTTCAAAACGGGACCCGTGGTGAGCCCCCATGGGCCCAACAGCACGGTCCAGTCCGATGGTGGACTGGACCAAAGCCAGACCCTTATTGGATTGATACTCCTTGATCCACTGTTTTAATGTTGGTTATTAGGCAATCTTGTAATAATACTCCACATCATTCACATTGTATTACTTAACGAGAAAATTAGTGAAATATTCCTCTCTAATTTTTATAGTAGAAGAGGTTCAAAATATTTTTTTTCTTTTTAGTTAAGGTCCTTTAATAATATTACTAGAGAAATTTTAACTTATCACAGATAAATTTTAATTTGTCACAGAAAAATTTCACAAATTTCTCTATGTTGAAATTTCTACATAAATATTTATGGACCTAAACTTGTCACGACCCCAAACCGCCCCTAGTAATTTGGTGCCGTGATGGCCATTAATTCGAGATTACCGAAGGCCAACTTTCAAGGTTCACACACAATCAGGGTATAAATATATGGGGCTAACATGTGCGGAAGCAATAATTTACAATACAAGTGGTCCATAAGAGCTGTGCATAAGTCAAACGGAATGGCATACATCTTTACATAGCTTTACAACTTGAATACAAATAAAATGAAGTACCAAAAATACATATTACATCTTGGAAAAGGCTTCTCAAGCCGACATAAACAAAATACATAAAATACAAGTCAAGAAACATAATCTTCAGGTCAAGAAACATAATCTTCAGGATTGCCGACATAAATATTGCCGAC